TCGTAGGGATTGTAGTGTTTCGCTTTCCGTTGGGGTTAGGTTGCACCACTCCTTTCTGTGCTTGATCTTTCTGATGGCTAATTGGAATTCTGCGTGGATTTTCTGCAGTTTGGTTTCGAGAATTACGTCGTAGTTTTCCGGTCTACTGATTGATGTTGATTTAGGGTATTTGATGTATGGTTCTTGTGTATCTTCTTGTCTCGTTTTATTAAGTGCGGATTGCCATCTTAGTTGGTTCGCCAGTCTGTAGAACGCTACGTTCAGTTGGGCAACAGACTTTTTATCTACTTTCGGTGCAAGGCTGAACTTGGGTCCTTTAGAGAGAAGGTCTATTTCTTTCTTCTCTACATTTCCAGTGAGATCAGTAACAAGGTCTGTGCTGGGGATTTTGTGTGGGTTGACATCCGTTGTGTGGTCCTTTTCGGTTAGACGACTGCGATGGTCTATGAGATTATTAAAGGTTGCGTTGAGTCTTACGGAGTGGAGCTTGCTTGTGTTATTGTAAACTGTGTACCTCTCCTTATACACCTTATATCACACTATTTTGAGTTTGAATGGTATCTTTTTTTTAGTTTATAACCAATCACATTCAAAAAAATGAATGGATGAGACAACAAAAACCAAATAGACGAAGTTTGATGATATGATTGTTGGTTTTTTGAAGTATAATTACGAAGTCTGAAGCTTTTTGCATAAAAAGTACTTCAAACTGTCACAAAACGCGAGATAAGCAAATTAAGTTGCCCACAGGTAGCCCACTGTTTTTTTGTAATTTTGCGAAATAGGTTAAGTTTAATAAAAATAAACATCTCTACCTGTTTATTGGCTTTTTTCTTTGTATTGCTGTTGAGTTTCAGGCCATTTTGAGCCATTTTATATCGCTATTGTTATCGGCTTTCCCAAGCATTTCGTCGACATTCCGCCATTTTGAAAATGTCACATCGGCATAATAGTAATTAATAATCCTGCAATGCAAAGTTCCCAGATAATTCTACGTCATAKGATAAAGAGAAAACGTAACTACCAATGAGCTGTAATTCATCAAAACACCGCAAAGTCCATTTCGGGCTTCCTTTCCATTAGAAGATATGTTAGGAGGTACTGCGATGATCCAGTATTCGTCACGACGGCGATCAAATTGGGCCAAGTTTTTAACTCGTTCCAAAACCAAAACAATATGTGCTCAAAACATTGTTTCCAATTCTCGTGTCGCCTTATATTTCAACTAGATCTTGTTTTTATCTTCGTATGCTACGCCGAGCTTTAATCCATCGAGTAGAGCAAACCAAATCATAATCACATCCAATTCTTTCTCAAAACAAACTGACACTAGTCTTCAATCACAGAAGAAACGAAAAGAATCCAATATAGAGTCAGATGACGAGGTTGATTGTAGATTTCACTGAATCTGAAGACAATTTCGATTATATACTTCGAGTTCCGATCGATGCCTGAGATTCCCCAACTCGATTCCCTAACTCGAATCCTAACTCTGGTTTTAGTTTATCTCTCATTCGGTTATTTAGTACTTTTATTAGTACTAGTTAGACAATAGGAAACGAAGGAATTTAGCATTTTTTAGCACCGATTTTGTTTTTTTGAAAAATAGCAAACGACAATGAAAGCAGTGTTAGAAAATTTAAGCTTTAAAGTGTAGAGCGTTTTGACATGCATAACGGTCTCTAAGTGTCTAGATACCAGGCACCCAGGAACTAGTTTCAAAATACTAGCTACACGGCTGAGAGGAGACTAGCTACACGGCAATTTAAGAGCCACTTCGCCCAAAAATCTTGGCAAGGCTTGAAAAATCAAATATATTCATGTTTTGTATATTGATAAGGTATGATTAGGTAACAATCGCTGTGTAATTGGTTTTTGAAAATATTTCATTTTTCGCAAGAAAATCGCTAAACAATGTCACATACTGGGCCTTTGCGTGACAAATGTTTGATGGCTAAAAATAGCACTCGAAATAGCCAAACTTTCTACCGAGCTTGTGTGAAATGTAAAATAGTAATTTCAAAAATTTAAATTGTGGCTTTCTAAGTAACTCTTTCTTATTTATTTCGTTGATTTTCAGAGCATTTAATTCAAAAGAAAAATTTATAGAGCTCGAAGTGTTTACATATGTAGTTGTATATGCAAATTAGTACCTAGAAAAAAATATTATTTTTTCTATGTGCAAGTATTTTGTTTGCAATGAAATTCGGCGTGATAACTAAGCAAGGCATGAGCCTTACAAAGAAATAATAATTAGTCTGGGCAAATCACTTTCAGGTGCGTAAGAATGACTTATTCCAGTCACAATTATCAGCATAAACACATATTTTGTCAGTTGTATTAACCCAACAATTTTCAAAGCATATAAACATCTAATCAACATTAAACGTATGTTATTGAAATAAAAAGGGTTAAGCTTATTTTCTTTGAACATTTTAGGCAATGTAAATGAATTTCGGTTGTTTAAAACACTTGGTGTTTGAACGGATTATTATCGCCAGAAGTATTCATTTCTATGCAACTGAGAGTGATTTGCCCAGACTAATTTTTGTGTATTTGAAAAGCTCATCTCTTGTTTAGTAATTACTCCGAATTTTATTGCAAACAAAATACTTGCACGTTTAAAAAATTATCGTTTTGTAAAGGTACTAATTTGCATATAAAAATACATATGCGAATATTTCGAGTTCCAGAAAATTTTYCTTTTAATTAAATGGTCTGAAAATCACTGAAATAAATATCAAAGAG